CCCTGAAAATAGCCATCATCAAAAACACCACACAACAGTGTTGGCGAGGATGTGGGCGAAAAAAGGAACCTTACACTGCTGGTGGAATGCAAGCTATGCAACCACTCTGGAAAAAATATGAAGCTTCTTGAAAACTACAACATAGCTCTGCCATATGATCCAGCATCCCACTTGGATATACCCAAAGGAATGACACAGGTTTACAGACACGTGCACTCCCATGTTTATGAGCACTATCACAATAGCCAAGTTATGGAAACAGCCAAGTGCCCCCCATACTGATAAATGGATAAGAAAATGTGATTTTTATACAAGGGAATTTACTCAGCCATGAAGAAGAATGAAATCTTATTTGCCAAGTAAATGGAGAACTGGAGAACATCATTTCTGAGCAAGGTTAGCCAGGCTCAGAAGACCAAAAATCGTATTCTCCCTCATATGGCAGACTTTAGATCTAGGGCAAAATACAGCAATGTTGTTGGACTTGGGTCACATGACAAGGGAGAGCACATACGGGAGGTATTGCCGGATAGGTAAGAAACCCAAAACATGAAAGCGTTTATGTCCCAAACCCAGAGCGAACTAATACAGAACCTATAAAACGACAGTTATCACTAGCAGGATCAGGAACCAATGTAAAGATCAGTTAGAGTGAATCAACATGGGTCATAACACATGGGTACATGTGCTATAGCTATCCTTAACTCAACTAGCAAAAATGCTTTATCTTTCTTATTATGCCTTATGTCGTTTCTCAACAAAATCAGTCACAAGGGCAGAACGGGACCTGCCCTGAAAATGGGTGGGGGGGGTGGGAGGGTGCAGGGTGGAGAAAAACCGCCAAACAATGTATGCACATGGAATAAATCACAACAGCAACAACAACAAAAAAATATTTTTCAGGTACCATTATACTAAAAAATATAATTTGTAACATTTGATTACCAAGAAAATCAGCTATGAATAATGAACAGAAAAACTTTGTAGCAAATTATTTTATTTAGTTACAATATCCAACAGTTCGAAAGAAAAAATTTCTATCATGTTAATTGAACTGATATACTTTCTTTAAGAAGGTCCCTTTTTCAATTAAATAATTTCTAACCATTCATGGTCTCAACCTTCTGCCTTAACACTCAGATAGGTATTTTTGGAAGGCCACAAGTCACTAGCTCCATGAAGTGGCGAATTGGTCCTTGCTTTGGAAACCCTCCAGGTACTATCCAGAAATATATGCTTCATGAAATTCTAACCATCATCATCAAAACACTAGGAAATAAACAAAAAAATTACATTAAAATTTTGGGTGTAAAGCTGATACATCATAAAGTTGTATCAAATCATGTAACAAGACACTGTTAAAGCAGGAACTTTGCGAGTTACCCTAAGGGTTGGACCACCAATGTAACAACGTGTTGGCTTTTGGCAAACTAACTTTTCTGAGCATTAGTTTCCTCAATATGCGATGAGGATGAAAGGAGCATCTTTTGGCATTTTGGGAAATATTAAACAACACCATATATAAAGCTTCAATAATTTTCAAAGTATAGAAGCAAACTGTTGCAAAAAAAATATTTTAATATCTAGGGCAACCACTAAGAAAACCACACAAAATATATTAAAATATGTAAATCAAACCAGATGACTAAAAAAATGTTCAAGTACACAAAAAAACAAATAGGACATTCAATAAGTTTCAAAGTATAGAAGCAACTGTTGCAAAAAAATATTTTAATATCTAGGGCAACCACTAGAAAACCACACAAAGTATATTTAAAAATATGTAAATCAAACCAGATGGACTAAAAAAATGTTCAAGTAGCACAAAAAAGACAAAATAGGACAATGAGAAAGAGAAAAATGAATAGAAAACAATAAAATGAAGACTTAAATACTAACAAATCTTCAATTACTAAAACTTAAATGCCAAATATATCAAAAGACAAGAAAATGCTACACTAGAAGAGGAAAGGGTCTCAAATCAGTAAGCTAAGCTTCTTTTTCAGAAACTTAGTGAAAAAATGAGAATAGGAAAAAAGCTATTAAATTTGCAAAAGTAGTTTAATACATTAATGAAGTAAAATGTAAATAGAACATACCATTTTTTATATTCAGAATTAAGTTCCAAATCTGATATTGGGAGCCACAAAAATGTCTCTCCCCAAATCATCAAAAAATAAATAATTTCATCAAGCTGATTCTTACAATGAAAGCGGACATTTATTATTTTTAAAATTTATAATAGGATATAAGAAATGGTATCAAGTTCCAGGTTTACAACCTGCAGTCTCTCAAAGTATTCAGTTTCTAAGTGCATGCTGACAGAAGGAACCCAGGTGAGAATTTCCACAGTCTCCTTGCTTGTTTTCCTTCAGATATAACAACTACCTTGGGAGCTAGAAATGAGATACTTCCCTTTTCAACCATGATCCACCAATAACCATGAACAATGTAGATGCATACTTGCTCTGACTTCCCCAACCTTAGACTACAAGTCTCTTTCCTTTAGAAACTAAACTTTCTCGAAATCAGATCAAATTAAAGATAAATTCTTTTGAAGTTTGGACCTCAAGATTTTGATGACTTTAGTGTTTCTTACTATCAATTCATGCTTTCCTGTCATCTTATTTTGTGGTTCCTAGATAATCCATAATATTCTCAATATTTAATATTTAAAAAAATGTACACTATAAATAATTTTAAATATAGTATTTAAAAACAGTTATAGTAGCAAATTCTGCTTACATATGTTGTAGAGTGGAAGCATGGCTCAAGCAGTAAAGTTTATCTAGCAAATGCAAAGTCCTCAGTTCAAATCCAGTACCACAAAAACAAAAAAAAAAAAAACCAACAAAACCTGTCTGTAGAAACTGGGATCTTTACGTTTTATTTGTATAACTTCACTTGTTCATCACAAGACTTCTATACAGTTGTCTTATAATATTCTCGTTCATGCTAGATATGAGGGAAGCAGGAAAGGTAAGTCTAAGGCTCTCAGGAACTTAAACTCCTAAGTACTATGCTTCCATTGTGTCTCCAGAATAAATTCATGTTACCTCTCAATACTGTTTTTAGTTTGTTTGTTTGTTTATTTATTTATTTTTATTTTGTAGCCCTGGGGTTGAACTCAGGCTCAGGACCCTGCACTTGCTAGGCGGGCACTCTTAGTGCTTGAACCACTCTTCCAGCCTTTTTTTTGTTTTGGAATTTTCAAGATGGGGTCTTGGCTGGCTTCAAATCTTGATCCTCCTGATCTCTGCTTCCTGAGTACCTAAGACTACAGGTGTAAGCCACTGGCGTCCAGCTAATACTGTGTTTTTACTCATATTTCTGAGAACTTGATTCATCAAAATAATGAAATCTAAGTTCATCAAATAATGAAATCCAAAGATGTTCTAAGAATAAATTCTATGTTTCCTTAATATCACACATTGTATTTTCTTCATTTTTGCTCCTTTTAAAATTCTATGATCAAAAAAAAAGGGGAAAGAACCTGACATTTATTCATATGTATTATATGCCAAAACTGTGTGGAGCACTTCAGCAACTTTGTTAAGTTCTCATTCTTCCAATTAGGTCTCCTTAATTTGCAGAGGAGAAAAGTGAGGCTCAGAAGTTAAATAATTTACTCAAAGGTAAATGGCTAATAACTGACACCTGATATTTGTACTTCAATTTGCAAAATTCAAGTCTGTTCTTTTTATCTTGCTCTGATACTTTCCAGAACACACAAATTGTAATACTTTAAGAAATACACTTTTTATATAATAGTGAAACACAGACTGTTATGTTGCTGCATATACCATATGAACATACAAAATATTAAGAAATTGTTGAAGAATTTTTAAGTTTCTGAAGTTTTCCAATAGAAAGTAATACTAGGTCTGGGGATGTAGCTCAGTAATAAAATGCTTGCCTAGTATGCACAAGTCCTGGGTTCAATCCTCAGCATCATCAAAAAAAAGAAAAAAAGTAATACTTTATGAAGATATAAGGCTAAGTATTGGGGCTAGAGGATGGGCTCAGTGATAGAGCACTTGCCAAGCACGCACAATGCCCTGGGTATGATCCCAGCATCTCAGGAATAAGAACTAGACTATTTCTGATATTTAAGCTTCCATTCTACTTACAAATTCAAACAAAGGACAAGTTAACAAAAATTAAGACATTACAAACTGGTGGTGTGGCTTAAGCGGTAGAGTGCCTGCTTTGCAAATATAAATCCTGAGTTAAAACCCAGTCCACTCCCTCCTCCAAAAAGAAAGATGTTACAATGATACATTAACACCACAAAGGTAAGAATAGAGTGCATTTCTTTCTTTCTTTGGTGGTACTGGAGTTTGAATTCAGGGCCTCAGGCTTGCTAGGCAAGCTCTCTACCACTGGAGCCATGTCCCCAGCCCTAGACTACATTTCTTAAGACTTAGGTGTTTGCAACTTCTAGTTAATCTTATCATAAAAATAAGTGGATCTCTTCTAATTTAAAACTGTACCTAGAAAAACTCAATGAGAATGTTTAACTGATGACAAAATGGGTGCAATAAAAAAACAAAACAAAAAACCCCAGCATACTGATACTGTTTTCCTTTTGACTGAGGAAGATAGTATCTCCAGAAAATATCCAGGACAACAGACTGTATTCCAATAGCATCTATATCATGCAGCCAAAGGTTTTAAAGCCTCCTCACACTTTTGTTTTGAGCAGCTTATGTAAGTACCTTTCATCTCATGAAGACACTGGTTTATGAAGTAGACACCAGTGTAAGACTTTAAGAGTTGCAGTGCTCTCCCCAGTTTAACTATAATATCAAATCCAGCATTTGAGATGCACCAAGGAATGTCTTGTTTATAAGCTTGAAATCTCTTATTTGTAGTTCTCAATTTTTTTGTCACAGAAATTCATGATGCATTTTTGTCATGTAGTTTTACTTCCTTATTTTACTTACCAAATATCTATAATTAAAAAAAATTCTAACACTTAAAAAGATATCTAAGGTGTTTTGAGATTCACATAAATATGTAGACTGTAAAACAGAACATCTTCCAGAAATAACATCTAATCAATGAATGCTATAAACCTCTGAAATTAACACTTACCTGCTTCATTGTTAATGGGAAACTCCCACAACTTCCCTTCTTTTGTCCACTGGATCATCTCCTCAAACCCATTCTGAAAGGGCTGTTTATTTACTGTGGCTAGTTGCTTAGCAAATTCTATTTCCCAAAGAGAAGGTGATGTCTCTGTATCACAGAAATATTTTAAATAAGCACAAAGCAATATAAATGTCTTTCTTAAGTGTTGTGTTATAATCAACTCAAATTGATAATGTTTTCAGACCTCAATATTCATAATTAAACAGGATATATAAAAGTTACTGAGAGCTAAAATTGCAAAAATAATAATATGTAAAACCTGTAATTACAATAATGGTAAACCTTTAATTTTGTATTACTGCAATGTCAGGTAATTACTGTCTTCTCTACCACAAAGGAAAAAATTTGTATTTTTTAAGGGTAGTTTTATGAATGTGAACATCTTTCCTAAATATGTGATTTTTTTTTTTTTTTTTGTGGTGCTGGGGTTTGAACTTAGGTGCTATACCACTTGAGCCATTCCACCAGCAAACATGTGATTCTGATCTTTAAACTCCACACATTATTTTTAGTTTGTAAAAATTAGCCACTAATATAATACTACTACTGAGATCAAAGAAGTTAAGCTAACGAAAAATACTAAGGGATGTTACATTGAGCACTTAATTCTGTGATAATATTTTTAACACATTAACTGATCTTTTTGGGGGAGGCCAGGTGATGGTACCGAACCCAGAGCTTCATACTTCTCTACGCTTGATCCAAAAGTCCAGTCCATTTTGCTCTGGTTATTTTGGAGATGGATCTCTCCATTATTTGTGTGTGCTGGCCTGGAATAGTGACCCTCCTAATCTCAGTCTCCCAAGTAGCTAGGAAGAAGCCAGCTGCCTGGCTGAGATCTGACCTTTTATTTAAAGAACAGGAGAACAGAGAAAACTAACAATGTGTTAAGACAAAACACTACAAAAATCTGCTGTACATATTACCTGAATATTCTTCTTCCTACCTCATGAACAATCCTTACAACAAGTAAGGATTTCAACAAGTTACTTCTACAAATGCTTTCTCCTGTTCTAAATAGTAAGCACCCAAGAGCAGGAACCATAGCCTATTTATCTTTATGTAAGAGCATAGAGTTGCACTGGAAATGACAGATGATTATTAAATCTAAATTAGTAGTCAGTCTATACTTCTGGATTATTCAGCTGCTAATACTGACCTCACAGGGTCCCACAGAATGCAGCATTTTCAGGGGTAAATATGACCAAGACTAGCAGTATCAACAGCGACATTCATAAGCAGAATCCAGTGATGACAGGATGGAATATCAAAATACACAACCACTATGCAACCAAAACACCAGGAACATGTTTGGAAGAATGAACATTTCTACACTTGAGAAATAGTATTCTTAACAAACCTGTTTCAGGTGCTTCTTCAGCAAATGCTTTAATGTCAAAAATATTAAGTCTTTTCCCCATGAATAAATTTTTCCTAAGACTAAAAACAGAAAACATATTTTAGTGACCATGTTTATAAATTGTGAACAAAACTGATTATGGGAAAAAATTACATGAAATATTCTGTATTAAATTAAATTAATGTCACTGTCCACACCAGACATTTAAATTAAATTGCCCATGTTTTTAGGACTCATAAAAAAACCAGAAACATATGCCCTATATGCCCTTAAATTTTTGCTTTACAACATGACAAACTAGTTAAAATGGTTTAATTTTCAAAATACCTAATTGAAAATGAAAAGATTGCTTATCTGCCATGATTTTTATTTGATCCCTTTCATATAAAAATTTTTAGAAAACTCACTATTGTAAAGATATAAAAATATGCAAAAATAGAAGCTGTTAAAATCAACATTTGTCTTTAAAGTCAGAAAACACTACAGTGCTTTATAAAATGTTACACAGATAAATCAAAACATTCTCTTATAAAGTAATCATCTGCAGTTTAAAAATAATTAACTTTCTTTACATAACTATTTTTAATTAATGAGAGGTACTAGGTAACTATTTCTGGTATACTTTAATCAACTACTTTATGCATCAATTCACATATTTACTTGAACAAAAATACTGGCAGATTAAAGACCAGTTTACATACTGGAGCATGAGTTTTAAAAATAACTTTCAATTCTTTTCTGGATCAAAACGATTACCTCTACTAACTGAAATTGGAAAAATGCAACTAGTGTATTTAAATTAGGCAAAGTGACAAGTCATGTAACCTTCCTTCTAGCAGGTTCCCATGCATTTGTAAACATGGGCCTTTCTGCTCCAGAACACTCCTCACTACTACCTTGCATCCTTTTCCCTATTCAACATTTCCTCGTTTGCAAGTCAGGTAAACAGGAGAAGAGATTAAAGTAACTCATGGTAAAAATGGAATGCCTTGGTAAAGTATAGGAATTTAATAGGAAGGTACTGACAAAAGACATCTATTATGCATTACATAATTGATGCATATTTTTTCCTATGTGGAAAATGCATTTAAAAGGCAGGCATTTAAGCTAGGTTTCACTTTCAACCTTTCATAAGCAGGGCAACAGTCTGATGGAGGCTATAAAAGTTGCCCAGTCATAGGACTAGTCAGTGGCAATGCCAAGATCTGGAGCAGGCCACCGTTGACTCCAAAGCCAGTGCTCTGTGACTCACACCTGTCTCTAGCTGAATCATTTCAGAGGTGGGTTTTCTCAGGCTGCCTCAAATCCTGCCCAAGTCATGGCAAGGTAAACAACTTGGTTTCTCCCCCTTATTTCCCCAATTCCCTTTTAGTCAGCTTTTTAACTTATTGTATACACAGAAATTCCTTTCCTATCCTTTAAAGCTTCTCTCTTGCTGCTTTTTATTTATTTTTAAAGCTTATTTTATTTAAATTGAACTCAGGTACTGGAGCATGTAAGACAAGTGCTCCACCACTGAACTATATCACCAGGCCTTGTTTTTTTCTGAGACAGGGTATCTCCAGATAGCCCAGGCTGCCTTTGAATTTACTATGTAGCCCTGACTGTCCTTGAACTTGCAATCCTCCTGCCTCCATCCTCCAAGCATATGCTATCATGCCTGGCTCCTTTTTATTTTTATTTATATTTTTTAGTGGTATTCGGGGTTTGAACTCAGGGCTTGGCACATAGCAGACAGGTACTCTATCCCTTAAGCTACACCTCCAGCCCTAGCTTTTTAATGGCAGCAGAACAACATTAAAAATCAAGTTATGAGCATAAGCCCTGGGGTTTAATCCCCAGTACTAAAAATAAAAGTTATGATATTCAAAGCAGTTGCATTGAAAATGGAAAGAAGACTTAGTTAATATTTTTAAGTAAAATCCTTAGTACACTTTCCACTTTGTTCAATAACATGTCACAGATAACAAATCGCTTTAGTAATTCAAATAATCATCCAAAGTCACTGCTAATATCTTGAACTTCCTGTGTTAAATGGTGACCATCTTTTCTCATTTTCCTGCACAAAAAAGTAATTTAACACCTGGAAGGAGCTAAGTCAAGTTCTTGAGATTCTACTTAAAATCTATGGAATGTACAACATACTGTAGATATTTCAATTCTGAGTATTATCTTGCTATTAAAGACAAGTTAGTTTTTGTCAGACCATGGCAAATATCTGGTTTCTTCTCTCCAACTAGGCTTAAAGGAGAGAAAGACAAAAGCTTTATGAAAATATGTAACAACTTTCAGTTTACACAAGGCACAGTTGTTTCAAATATTTTTTTCTATTTTGTTGGTGGAACTGGGGTTTGAACTCAGGACTGCATGCTTGCAAAGCAGGCACTCTACTGCTTTAGCCATGCCTCCAGTCCATTTTGCTCTGGTTATTTTGGAGATGGTGGTCTTGTGAACTATTCTCCTGGTCTCAGTCTCCCAAGCAGTCAGATTATAGGCATGAGCCAGTGGCACCTGGCCCCATTTTCATTTATGGACATCTTTCCCTTTCCAGGAAATGGTTCACAAGGGTAAGAAGACAGATATAAATGCTCAGATACTATCAGCAATTATATAAGGAGTGAAATAAATCCACAGTTAATATAAAAAGAAACCAAAAAAACCCAATAGACTGCAAAGCCTGAATACCGTTTTTTACGATCGGCTGTCTTCTCCTGGCCATGACAATCATCAGCTCCTTCATCAAACTGAATCTGATACTCTGGTCTTGTGCTGACTCGAGCTGTAGAGGGTCTGGCAACTTTCATATCTGATATTATGCTACTGAAGCTGGAACAACAGCAGGCCAAGTATATTACAAATCTTAGCTACACAATAGTAGTAAACTTTTCTTAAACAGGACAATTATATCACTAATTCTTATTTTACTTTTGTGCATTTATGAAGGATAAAGATTTGTTTAAATAAAAAAATACATTCCATGCTAACATTCACATACTACAGACCATTAAGATTTATGTCTACTTCTATCTTTTAAAGATATTCTTCAGAAAGAAATCTTCATTTAAAAGTGTATTACATAAGAATAATTCATATTCAAAGAAGTAAATAGGAAAATACAATCAATATCTGTATACCTGTCACCTATATCGATAATGAAAATAAAACTGAAATATAGCTCTATTTCCTTGTTGCACTGTATATGTTAACACCAAATGAGTGCTTTGACCTTCCTTCAAGAACCTAGTACAATGTTCACTGAGAATGTCTGATTTAGATCACTCCCTTAAACATAAGAGAAAGGGAAGGAAACATGTCTAAAGAGTATCACACTGCACAAAACCAGCAAATGGAAAACAGTTTCTGAGATAAACTCTTATTTCATTATTTATTTGCTTATTTTTATTTTTTCAATTTTGGAAAAAATAGCATTATATATTTGAGATAAAACTGTAAAATTGGCAAGGCTTTTTTTTTTTGAGTAAAAAGGAAAAGTATCTAGTCACATAAATAAGTGAATACCACATTATACACAAAACGCCACGAAATCCAGATGCCATAAACTATCTAGACTACATTGTAACTTTCACAAGACATGGGTAGATTAAAACTGAGTACCAAATCAGAAAAGGAAAAGGTATTTTTCATCTGAAGGGCCAATATGATCAGACTGAACTAAGTTGGCTTTGTGTACCATTTACAAAAAGCTAACAGGAAAATTGAGACTATGGAAGTAGATTCAGATCTCAGGATGAAAAAGCCAAAAAGAAGGTACAGAATTTCATGTTAAAGGATAGGCCTAGACAGAACAGGACCTGCCTGGAACTGAGCGGGGAATGGAGCAAAGGGTGGGGGAGGAGGGGAGGGGGTGAAATGACCCAAACAATGTACGCACATATGAATAAAATAATAATAAAATAAATAAAAAGTGAATTAAAAAAAAAAGCTTCAACATTCTGAGGCAGACATGAAAAAAAAATTAAGGATAGGCCTAAAATGGGATATAAAACATGTTCATAAAGGTAGTTTGTTTACTTATTTTTAATAACATACTAAACTTATTTCCTTTTTAAAAGCAAGAAACTTTATAACTCTTAAAAGTATAACCATTTGATTTTTTTTTAAAGTTATAACCTAAGATGAAAGTTTTTTTAAAAAAATAAAATTGCTAAAATTCTTTTTCTGAGGTAATACTTATGAGTAAAATGGGTATGCCATGTGTACTACCATCAGCCACATGAAAATGGCCTACTTTTAGACATAAGCACTACTGATATAACTACTTTACTCACTGACCTAATTTTAGGTTTCTTTACATCTTTCTGTGTCCTTGAGTGTTCTTCATGCTGCCGGAGCTGCCTGAGTAGTTCTGACTTTGTTGTCTGCTTGTCAAAAGGGAGAGCTTCTGCAATAGCAGATGCAGCTGCCACCAGCTCAGGACTCAGTGACTCATTCCTGGGAAAGAACATGAAAAAGAAATGAGAGAGAAAAACGGTGGACTTTGTGCCGCTGGTTTAAAGTGAAAATTAAGATGAAGTGAAGAGGAAAAACTCTTTTGCAAGTATCATTCAATTCAACTGCTGACAAAATCAATTACGCGATTTAATTCATTTACTTGAGACAGGGTCTCTTTACGTTGCCCAGGCTGGCTTTGAACTCATAGACCTCCTGCCTCTGCCTCCAAAGGGTTGGTGTGCCACCACACTCAGCTTCAGAGACTGGGTTTAAATAACTTTGAATCACTAAAGTTTTAGTTACTTTTTCAGGCACAGTTAACAATTCAAACCTCAAAAATTATAAATTAACTGGTGACTCACACATGTAATCCTAGCTACTTGGAGGCTGAGAGTGGGAGGATTATGGTTCAAGGCCAGATTGGGTATGTGACTCAAGCAGTAGAGAACCTGCTTTGCAAATGCAAAGCCCTGTGTTCAAACTTCAGTCCCACCAAAAGATAAAATACATATAAAAATTGATGGAATTTAACCACATGCAATATTATTTCAAAACCAGTATATACTTCAAGCGATTATAAAATTAAATCTGTCATAGAAGCTTTACCTGTAATAGCCCCAAACTGGAACCAATCCAAATGTCTATCATCAGGCAAATGCATAAAACAAATTGTAATATGTGCATGCTAGGAACAGTACTTGGCTCCCACCAACAACATGAATGAACTCATAGACATGAGAACAAATGAAGAAACTAGACACAACAGCATTTGGTGGGGATAATGGGGAGTGGGAAAAGGGAAACAATGATGGGAGGGTGAATAATATCAAAATATATTGTGTCTATGTATGAAGATGACACAGGAAACTCAATGAAAGTTGGCAAAAATGTGGGGGACAATAGGGAAAAGAGAATAGAGGAGGTTAATCTAATCAAAGAATAATACATGCACATGTGACATACCATGGTGACCCACCTCTTCGTACAATATTTACTAATCAGAAATTTAATAGCTAATTAAATTTATCCCTATGTTAAGAGAAAACCAACATACTGTATGATTTCACTTATATTAAGTTCAAAACAAGCAAAAAAGTCTGAGTTGAAAAAATCAGAACAGTGGTTCTGGACAGAAGGTTACTGACTAGAAAGATGAAAATGGGAAACTCTGTATCATGATAATGCTACAAATGGGGCATATCCATTTGTCAAAATTCTACGGCTAAAATTTGTACACCTGGCTACGTGTGAATTTTACCTGGAAAAAAAAAGCTATAGGTCTATGGCCATACCACCCTGAACACGTCTGATCTAGGTTGCTAAGCAGGGTCAGGACTGGTTAGTACTTGGATGGGAGATGGCAAGGGAATACCAAGAGCTGTAAGCTTAAAAAAAAAAAAAGCCATAGAGAGCGGCTGGTGGAGTGGCTTAAGTGATAGACTACCTGCCTAGCAAGCATGAGGCAGTATCTCCCCCATCCTAGCCAAAAAAAAAGCTATAAACCATCATTATCATCACACAAGATATAGAAAAGGAAAAGGTAGCTGGGTGCCAGTGGTTCATGCCTATAATCCTAGCTACTCAGGAGGCAGAGATCAGGAGGATGGCAGTTCAAAGCCAACCCAGGCAAATGGTTCCATGAGACCCTCTCTTGAAAACACCTAACATAAAAAAAGGGCTGGTGGAGTAGCTCAAGGTGCAGTTCATGAGTTCAAGCCCCAGCACTGTAAAAGAAAAAAGAAAAGGTATAGATGATACAAGAACAGTAAGGCATTGATCACTGCTGAAGATGGATGATAGGTACACAGAGCCTCATTACATAATCTTGTTTATTTTGCATGTCTGAAATTTTTCATAAGACAAGGTTCAAAATAAAAGCTAATCCTGGGTTGGAAGCATAGCTCAGTGCATCCCTATCATGTGCAAAACTACGTCTAAGTAAGTTAGAGTAAGTTTAACTTACTTAACGTAAGTTAAACTTACGTCTAAGTAAGTTAGAGTAAGAAATTATTATCTATCTATATCTATCTGTCTGTCTATCTAACTCACTGAGAACTACCACCTCAATGAGTAGGATCCAAATTAATATATTATTATACTTGGCCTTTTGTAATATATGTTGCCTACTATGCAAATTAAAGTCTCAAAATTCCTGAAATATTTGGATAAAAATTATAAGGAATTTATTAAGCTATGAAGGATCAGATAAGACTAGAAGAAAATAGAAAAGTGAAAAAAGAAAATACAACAATTAGTCAAAAAGAAAAAATTTTGATCTGTGAATAAAGCTTAAACCTCATCTCAAGTTCCTGATTTCCTTCATAACTAGCTGTGAACTACATTTTCAAATTTTAATATATATATATTTGATCAGCATATACAATAACAAAGGTGACTATTCATTGTCTAGAATCATGCATTTGAGCTAGAGGTGTGTGTCAAGTGGTAGTGTGTCTGCCTAGCAAGTGTGGGGCCCTGAGTTCAAGCCCAGAAATCACC